GCCTGGACGCAGTAACAGACTAGTTCATACCCGTTAGGTGGATGTTGGCACGGAAACATTGTGGAAGGCCTTTAGGAGGTCAGCGCAGGCTTTTACAAGTGGCTCACCTAAGATGTTCCCCACGAGCCCTGGTGGTTTAGTGGCTACACATTGCCCTGCGATTCACTGTGTCAGCAGTTCAAAACCACCAGCTCCTCTTGGGGAGAAAGATGGGGCTTTCTACTCCAGTGAAGAGTCACAACCTGGGAAACCCACCCGGGCAGCTCTACCCTGTCTTACAGGCCAGCCGTGAGTCGGCACTGACTACAAGGCAGTGGAGTTTTTTGGAAGATGCCCCCAGGGACCGCTAAAACACCCAAGGCTATGGGGTGAGCCAACCCTGCATGCCTGTAGGCCTACAGGCCTTTTTTGGGGTATTAGGGGATGGTAGTGGTGGTGGTTGGATTATTATTATTATTTTTAATGTTATTACATCCACAGGTATAGGAGTTTAGGATTTACAGCATTTTGGGGACACACACACAATTCAATACACAACATTCTACCCTTTGGCTCCATGAAGTTTATGTTTATTTCGTGTACTTTTACCCTAACACTCTCCCCAAATTATTTTCGTAAAAAATAGTTTTATTGGCATGTACTTCATACATCATGCTTCTTAAATCGTTCAGTCATATTAAGATCTGTGCCATTGTCACCACAATCAGTCTCACAACTTGTTATTTTTGCCCTCATTGCAGTTAGCTTCTCATCTCCCCCTGTCCCCCCTGCCCTCGGTACTTGTTAATCCAGTTACTGTCTCTCTAGATCAGTGGTGCTCGACCTTCCTAACGCCGTGACCCTTTCATACAGTTCCTCATGTGGTGGTGACCCCCCAACCATAAAATTATTTTCATTGCTACTTAATCACTGTCATTTTGCTACTGTTATGAATTGGGCAACCCCCGTGAAAGGGTCGTTCGACCCCCAAAGGGGTCGCGACCCACAGGTTGGTAACTGCTGCCCTAGATTGACCCATCTTGGATTTCAAGTACAGAAAATCATACAAAACACAAACAGGAAGCAAACAAACAAGAAAAAAAAAAAAACACTAGCAACGATGACTAGACAAAACCTCAGTCAAAATGGAACTAGACAATATTAAAACTTGCAACAACTGTAAAGCGGTCAAAAGGGAGTTTAAATGATAAGGTATTACATTTCCGGTGACTGTTGTTGTTAGGTGCCGTGGCGTCGGTTCTGACCCATAGCAACCCGAAGCACACCAGAATGAACCACTGCTCTGGCCGGCGTCACCCTCACAGTTGTTCCTGTGCAGCTACTACTGTGTCCATCCTCTCCTTGAGAGCCTCTCCCTCCCTCTCCTTCTCCACCTTTCTCCTTTACCGAGCAGGACGTCCTCCCCCGGGACCGGCCTCCGCTCACAAAGCATGTAAGAGGAAGTCTCGCCAGCTCTGCCTCTCAGGAGCACTGTGGTCGCGCATCTTCCCACCCAGACTTGCTTGTCCTGTTAGCAGTCTCCTCCAGCACCATTCCAATGCACCGGTCGGCTTCAGTCTACGTCCAGCCGTGTCAGACGGTCACAAGCAAGTGAGGCGATTGAAGATCCCACGGCTTAGGCTACCAGCAGAGTAGTCTTCAAAGTGACATGCTTGTTTGTTTTTTAAACTCTGAAGAGGTCTTGTGTCGCAGATTTACTTAATGCAACTTGTCTTTTGATCTCTTGACCGCAGCTTCCATGAGCACGGATTCTGGATCCAAATAGACAGAATCCTTGACAACGTCAGTTTTGTCTGCTTATCATGATATTACCTAGTGGTCCGGTTGTGAGGATTCTGTTCTTCTTTCCACTGGGTCCCACTCCATGCTGAAGACTGCAATCCTTGATCTTCCTCAGCAATGCTCCTCATGTGGGCAAGCAAGGTGGTGTCACCTGCATATGCCAGGTTGTTAATCAGCCTTCCTCCGATCCCGGTGTCACACTCTTCTTCATATGAGCCATCTTCTCTGATGGTGTGCTCAGTGTATAAAAGTTGAACAAGTACGGTGAGAGGATGCAACCCTGCTGTATACCTTTCTTAACGACACCTGACTGCACCTGCCGTAATCGACCTTCCATTGCTCTCTGTCTCATGACAAGGCTGTTCACATCCCTGCACTGTGATCAGAGGGGATTCACGTGAGGCTTAATCAGCACATGGACCCTGAAAATGGATCTGGGCTTCCACTGCCATCCACAGCCTTCTGCAAACTGCGTGTTCACAATTTCTCCAGGACTTTTTAATGTGGCCGATGAAGGACTTTTCTGTCCTGAGGTGTCAGACCTCTGATTTTAATCAATGTAAAGGAATCCATTTTAAACCACTTAAATAAAACATTCACCCAAGGGTATGGACTCCCTCCCACCCACCCCCATGCTGTAAAGGTAGCACTTTAATGCACCTGTAGCACTTTAATGCACATGGCTCATACATGGAATAGATCTTCAATCAGATTCTACTCACTGGGCAGCCACCCTGGTGGCAGAATGGGTTATGTGTTGGGCTGCTGACTAGAGTCAGCAGTTTGGATCCACCAGCTGCTCTGTAGGCAGAAGACAGGGTTTTTGCTTTCATAAAGATCCACAGCCTCAGAAGCCCACAGGGCAGTTCTGCTCTGCCCTGCAGGGCCCCCATGAGAGGAGTCTGCTCAGAGGCAGTGCGTTTTACTTACCAAGGTGTGGTCCAAGGTTTGCCACTGTAGATGCCACTTATTTGGAAGGCCTAAGCCTGTAGCAGCACAAGCAAAACTCAAGTGGTTTGAGAGGCTTCAGTACGGATGACAACCCAATGGAAAGAAGACCCAAGCCCTCACAACTAGACCAAGAAGGAACCTCGTGACACGTGGAGACAAGGTTGAAGTTGTCAAGGATTTTGTCTTACTTGGATCCACAATCAGTGCTCTTGGAAGCAGCCGTGAAGAGATCAAAGACAAGTTGCATTTGGTAAATCTGCTGCACAAGACCTCTTTAGAGTATTGAAAAGCAAGGACATTACTTTAAGGACTAAGGTGGACCTGCCCCAAGCCAGGGTGTTTTCCATTGCCTCGTATGCATGTGAAGGTTGGACACTGAATAAGGAAGACGAAGGAAGAACCGATGCATTTGAATTGTGCTGCTGGAG